AGAGACTCTCAAGACAAAAGTTGAAGTAGAGAATGTCTTTAATTTACAATTCACAACGAACTTCAAGGGATAAAATACTGTACACAACCCTTTGAGCTGAGTGAAGAATAGTTGGTGCTGCGGATCAATTCTATGCATGGAAGAGCTACTTTGGGCTACTATAGAGTCACTATTTATTGAATAAAATACAAAATCAATTTTCTTGTCATATTTAACGAGTAAGACCTAACATATTGCTCTGGGATATCTGCAATTGGTGGGATTGTGCCAAACAAAAAATCTGCCTGTTGATCTGCTCAATTTCTGCAGTAATTGTTTTCCCTCTCTTCATAATTGCACATTTAGCCAATTCATAAGTCTAGTAAGTGATCAATCTAGCAGGACTTTTGAATTACGTCTGAAGATATATTTCATTTATTGTTTGCAACTTATTCATTCGGATTTCATATCATTCAATCATGTATTACTAAAGTCTTACTGAATTTTCTATCATATAAAATAAATATTGACCTGCATGCCTGCACCGGATTTCCCGTAGCGGGAATTTGAGCTTCACTCTCGAATGATGAGTTAGAGTTCTTAGGTAAAATTCTATCGGAAGGTCTGTTGTTTCTTTTTATTCTTCAGATTTACCTGTGGGCATCAGTATCCCCAAATAAAGTTTGGAATGTATGTGGACGGACATTGTCGACATCAGGAGTTTGATTCATCAAAACCGGGAAGAAGACAAGCATCATCCTTTCGGACATCTCTAAATTAGCTAGATTGATCCTGGATTTAGAGCTGTCCATCCAGCAGTCCCTTTCTCAGGTGTTACAATAATCAATTAAACATTCATTGAAAAGGAAGAATAGACAATGATTCCTGCATGTCAGTCTTATCCTAATCCAGAAATATCCGTTGATTTGAGGTAGAGCTGTTCTTCTGAAAGGGGCTAAGTAGACGTGTCGTTCAACATCATAACTACAGTATTCCATCTTCGCTCAACTATATTGACGGATGCAAATAGTTCTGCTGCAAGACGCTTTTCTTTTGCATGTATCCGGATCTTGTAGTAACTTCCTATAGCATTGTTCCACTGCTCCTGAGCTTTGCAGATTTTCCTGGACTCTTCAAAAAGAAAGTGTGTCTAATTCGTTCTGAGTGTTCCACTGGACATGAGATCATGAGACAATAAAACTTGCACAGCTCAGTGAGTACTTTGTCCAACTTTGACGTCAGACATTAGCTCTCATTTGATGATCAGTTATCTGTTTCTAAGTTAGGAAGGAAACATATGATGGAATGTGTTCTTATAAGTAGCGTAAGATGGGTGTTTTGTAGATACATCGTGCAACATGAAGTCCACTCTACTGAAGCTTATAACTAATTCCAACCTATTTGGTAGCCCATATATATTCCTTTCGAGACCTGAAACATTCGTCATCGCTTTGATCATCACCTCGACATTCTGTGACCATGCAGCGTTGTCCCATCTGAGCTGGAAAAACTAAACCGTGGAGCGCAATGGCTCAATCCTTGCGAAAAATGCCTACTCCGCTATGTGGACTTGATGGAAGCTCACTTTTGCCCTTTTTTCGAGTATCTTTTAACCAGCGATATTTCTTTCATCACTGCCTTGTTTGTTTTTTCATTCCATGGTTCACATCGTTCTTACATTATATCTTTGAGCGAAAAGACTAGAGTAAGCTACGCTGATCACTTTACAAAGTTTATTCTTCTTTCAAACGAGCCATTGAAGTTTTTCTTCGTCTTGGACAGAAGCCCGAGAGAATTCTTCTGAAGGTGGAAACCTTATAAAGTGATCAGGACAGAGTTACACAATCAAAAGGGGAAGTGCGAAACCTAGTGGTATAGCACAAAGAGTAAAAATCCCCCATTAAGTCGTACGTGGGTGAATCCAAAGGGGTAAGGTGGGGCTAAGCCCCCAAGGGAAGTGTGAACAATTAGTTGACAACTGATGACGTCAGAATTGGAGATGCCACGCACCAATCAAATAAGTTCTCGCCTAGGTGACACACCAAAGTAGCCCAGATTTATCCACAAGCCTGGAGGGGAATCAAGTCTACTGATTTACATGATCAGAGCCATATTCTTTCCAAAACTAGGACCAGCTAGAAAATCTGCTCCAACTCATATGTTGGTTGCAAGGTGATTGACATGGGTGACTGGCTGTGCCAGTAGTCAGTCAGCGGAAAGCACCCCAACAGAAGAGTCTGTCCACGGAGCCTAACTAGTCTGGTTCGTTCTCGGGATGGTACTCCAGCGCAGTCATCTCGAATGAGTTGTGCTGACGTGGTCGAGTAAATATGGATGCAGTAAGATTGGGACTGCATACAACTTGTGAACGGACCTTTGGACCAGTCTGTCATATCATTTGATAGCCACAACTGGACTGATCAGCGAAGGACCAGCATGCTTTCAATAGTGGTTTCATGAGTCCACCAACAAGAACTCAAGAAACATGATATGTGATGATACCTGGCAGAAATGCTTCATTTTTTAATGTCTTTACATTTATGCTGGCCTTTCTGTAAGACCGGGTTCTCCTTTCCAACACCGTTGATATATATTTCTGTTGCATAATGTCTTCCGCGGAATAGCACTATCGTTTTGATAAGTTTATCATGTGCACACATGACATTTTCCACCTTATATTGTCAGAGTGTAGGCGTTAGATACAATCCTCACATATATTGACGTTGAGATATCATTGACTATATTTTCCTGAATGATGAACGTACATAGCTCCATCATTCATCCTCGGTATTTTTGAATGTCTATCATGTTATATAATATGTATAAATTACTCCCGCATTATTAGATTGTTTCAAAGAAAAGCGAAAGTAAGGAGTCCACCCAAACATAGTTCAGATAAATTTCAGAATATAACTTCAAGTGAGAAAGGTCTACTGTATACTGTATGGAACAATTGTAGGACAGGTATATGCATGGCATTGGCATTCACGTCAACAAGTCCTGAGATCTAAGCGCTTCCCTCGGTTGGACCGTCGGAACGACCCTTCTCAAGCACGTAGAACTTGGAAACCCAGAAAATTATTCATTGCCACTGAGGATTGGATCATAGCCTTGGGGCATGGACTGCTTGGTGCCATATTCCATATAGCGAGCAGCCTCGTAGTGGCTTCACAGTGTGCACTTTATGAAGGAATCTCGCGATTCGGTTCTTCTCCCTTCCTTTTGCTGCAAACCAATGCAGAAGAACTTCAGTTCATATATTCTTCCCACCAAAGTACGTACTTCTTGGAATTGTAACCGAAGTGAAGATTGAGCTCCAGGTTTTAAATCAAGTCCCTCAAAGCATTAAAAATGACAAAATCGAATCCATCTTTTCTTATCGACTTTTTCTTGCTTTCTCCTCACTGCAATTAATTCCGTGTCACTTTGGACACATAAGTAGCTGGGAGGTATTTTTGTGAAGAGGTACAAATGTCACCTCTTATATTGAAGAACCCTCATCTAATTCAAGGGAGACGCAGATATTTCCCAGTTCTCTTCTGGCTTCGCACCACGCGAGGAAGTCTTGCATTGCATATAGGATGCATAAATAAGTTCAATCGAATTTGAGTATATACTCTGGATAAGATACTTCTTCATGGATTACAGAGAGCACTAATTTTGAGTGAGCTTCGAGACCCTTCACGATGCGGGATTTGAGATGGTACCAATATGATCTTACAACTGACTACCGTGCATGATTACAGATGGGAAGTCGTGTGTAGAGAGAGCATAATGAGTTCAGTCTGATGGAAAAATAACATCCTCTATCTGATCCCCTCTTATTATTACAAGTGAAACTTCACGTATGATTATGATGAGACCTGTCTGAAGGCCATCTCCATCAGAGTTTCAGAAGTGTAAGAATTCCTTCTCATATAGAAGTTGTGAAGGCCATTAAAAGCAAAAGGAACCGGGGGATTTATTGTGCGATGCGCTTGCATCGTTGCAGCCGATATCAAATTCGACTAAAGCGAATTTGCGAGCTCTTAGCCCTCGAAGGCCACAGTCAGATGAGGGAGGAAGAAGAGAGAGAGAGAGAGAGAGAGAGAGTCGGCGGAAGCATCGAAGAATTGGACGCAGGCAAGTGCCGAATTGAATGGGGAGCATGAGGGTGGGACGAACGTACACAACAGCACAGCACAGCCGAATGTGTGAAAGAGAAGCTTCACTCAGCTGGAGAGGAAGGATCTGTGAATGGAGGCGAGCCGGAGCCGAGGCCGAGACAGAGATTAATGGAGCGGATGGCGAATGGCGGTGTCACGGAGCGCTCCGTCAGAGAGTGGAGAGAGTGAAGAGCAAGGCAAGTTTGGAGGCGAGGCTGTACTCGATGGGATGGAGAGACCGAGAGACCGAGAGAGAAGGAGAGAGGGAGAGGGGGGGGGGGGAGAGGATTGGAGATGGCGGAGGAATGCTCGGTGGATGGTGGCAGCAGGCGTAGCAGTAAATGCACGCGCAGGCTGCGAGCCTGGCACCGCGTAGGCGAGCATCGGAGCGAGGGAGGCGAGCGATAATGAGAGGCCGGGACCCGTGCTGGTCGTCGATCCTGGCCCAAGCGCCGGAGGCCAGCGGATGTACACATGGACGGATTCCAAGCCCCTTGCACTCTGCGCTGCTGCACTGGACCGTCCTGGCGGCCAATGCCGTCCCGGCGAGCGATCCCGTCAGGCCCCCCGTCGCGGGTCGATCCGATACATCCATCCATCCATCCATCCCTGGAAGGTTCTCGCGGTTCTCGCGCTCTCTAGAACCGGCCCTCCGTCCGTCCGGCGGGCGGGCGGCTGGCGATGGCGCCGGACGCCAGATGGGAACGCAAGCCCGGGCGGGTGGGCGTGGGCAGCGGGAATTTATGGCGCTGGAGCGGGCGAGCCTTGGGTTGCAGTGCACTTCTCTCTGAGCCTGCCCAGTGGGCCCGAGCTCTTGAGCACTCTAATTATTACTTAACCGTCGCGACCAGTATCACAATTAGCGTCCCGTCCTCTCGCTGCGGTTCCATGGTGGCTCTCGTTCTCTCTCTCGGCCGCACGACACTGAGAGCGAGCGTCGTCAATTGCGGTCGTCGGCTACGCACATCGTTGACCCCTGCCGGGTTAGCCTCTTTGACGCATTGGACTGCAAGGTCGACTTCTCTCTCCCACCTTTCTGCGGCCTGGCCTGGCCTTGGCTGCAGCAGCACTCCCGAGGCTCGTCTCGTCTGACACCTCTGCCGCAGCTCTGAGACCTTTTCGTTTGCTTCGACTGCTCGTGATATATATATGCTCCCAGACTCGTCGCTTCTCTCATTTCTGCGAGCTGAACAGACAAACCGTAGAACAGCCAAGAGAGCAAGAGAGCAATAGAGAGAGAGAGAGAGAGAGCGTCGAGCTGCAAGCGGATACGAAATCCGTTAGCTCCGTGCAAAGTGTCCTATTCTACTTTGAGCACTCAGTCCCCGAGGGGAAGACCAGACCCTCCAGCGCCATCTTTGATCGCGCAGCGCAATTGTTCACTTATTTGCCTGAGGAGCATCTCTGCTCCACTCACTCACACATGCTTTCGCAACCCGTCCACAGTTTAGCGTCTCGCCTTCCGGTGTCGGCCAGGAGCTCGGGTTTGCACCGCTCGTCACTGACAGCCGGGGAACTGGGAATTGCTGTAGACTCCCGCTGACGGAGGAGCGATCCCCGCTGAGTGGGCTGAGGGGGTGGTGGCCGCGCTCGCGTTGTTGATAGAACGAGCACTGTGAGGGTAAGAGCGACGCGAGGGAGGGAGGGAGGGAGGGCTCACGGGACGCAAGGCAAGGCAAGGCAAGGCAAGGCAGGGGAGCATAAGGAGCTGGTTCTTCTCGTCTGGCTTACGTTCTGCTCATGCGCGGGGCCAGCAGCCTGTGTAGCGTAACAACACCTGCGTCGAACATTTCTGAGCTCATGGAGTTGTGTGCGTCCGAGGCGTTTCGGCTCGTCCATTGCATGGGGAATGTGTCGCCCACTTCCACAGATTTCCCGTTCGACACAGTAGAGAACTGTCCTACTGAGAATTTACAGGGCAAGTCCGTGGCCTCGGATCTGGACGGGACATTACTTCTGTCCCGCAGCTCGTTCCCTTACTTCATGCTCATTGCCTTCGAGGCCGGAAGCCCCCTGAGGGCCATTTTGCTGCTACTGCTAAGTCCTCTGGCCTGGGTCCTATACAACTTAATTTCCGAGGAGCTGGGCATTAAATTGCTGATTTTCATTTCATGCGCCGGGCTCAAAATGTCCGTGATCGAATCAGTCTCACGTGGAGTCCTGCCCAAGTTCTACCTGGAGGACATGCACCCTCAGTCGTACAAGATTTTCACATCGTGCGAGAGGCGAATCGTTGTCACGGCCAATCCGCGCGTTATAGTGGAGCCATTTCTTAGAGATTATCTGGGCGTGGAGGCAGTGCTGGGAACCGAGCTGCAGGTGAGCAGCGGCGGATACGCAACAGGACTCGTGAGCTATCCAGGGGTTCTCGTCGGGGACAGCAAGGAGCGCGCCGTCAAGAAGTACTTCGGCGACGATCTGCCCGATGTGGGCCTGGGCGATCGAGAGACCGACTTCCCCTTCATGGCTCTGTGCAAGGTGAGACCACTTCCGCGTCCGAAACCTACTCTCCAAATCGTACGTGGAAGCAGCCGCGCGCCATGTTGGCTGCCGGGTGTTCCCCCCGACATGATTAGCAGCCGGGCACCAGTTTCACGAGGCTAGATGCTCTCCTCCCAGCTCGCAGCTCTGTTTATTGTCCGCCTCGAGCTGATGCTTCAAGAAGCGAGCGAGTCTAGCGTTCTCGAGTACATTGCTTTTGACGGGAGCCTCACTCCGCCATGTATTACTGTACTCGGGCGGCTTAGGCGACTGCGATCGTGCATGAGCGACGTCCGAGCCTCGCACGTCCCCTCGAGCCGCATAGCATTGCAGCTTTCGCTTTCCTTCCTCTGTTGCAGCCTCCCCCTCCCCTCCCCTCTGCCGCCATTATGGTCTACCTCTAGGACCACGGTTAAAAATAGCTCGCTCGGACCTTGTCTCATCTGTGCCGTCAAAGAGATGGCACCGAAATCGGGATCGAGAGTGACGGCCTCGTCCTCGAGCAGCCGTCTTTTGCAGCTACCCCGGCCCCGGCCCCCGGCTGCCTGGGCAGAAATAGATAGATAAGATATCAGATGGCGTCGAGCATGGGCCAGTGATCGGGTCGATGTTTGGTTTCGTCGTGATGTTGTTGTTTTTGTTTGGGTTGTCGTTGTCGTTGTTGTTGTTTATTACGTGTCGGGACCGAGCATTGTGGAAGGGTGGATGTGTGAGCTTAGTCTTACGAGGACTGTGTTCGTTCGCTTGCTGTGCAGGAAGCTTACCTGGTGCCGAAGAACGTGAAGCTCGCTCCGGTTCCGAAGGATCAGTACCTGAAGCCTCTGATCTTCCACGACGGGCGTCTGGTGTGCAGACCCACCCCTGTCACGTCGCTCGTGGTCCTGCTCTGGGCGCCCATCGGCTTTCTGCTGGCGATCACTCGCATGTCTATCGGTATCTTTCTGCCCATGTGGTGGGCGCTCCCCGTCGAGGCCTTCTTGGGCGTGAGTGTGCTGATCAAGGGGATCCCTCCCACTTCCCCGGCTGGCGGCGAGAGGAAGGGAGTGCTCTTTGTGTGCTCGCACAGAACTCTGCTGGATCCTATCTTCCTCTCCATCGCCGTCCGCCGCGAGGTCACGGCCGTCACCTACTCCATTTCGCGGCTGTCTGAGGTCTTGTCTCCGATCAAGACCGTGAGGCTCACGAGGTGTCGGGCTCAGGATGCCAGCACTATGGCCAGGCTGCTGGACGAGGGCGACTTGGTTGTCTGCCCTGAGGGCACTACTTGCCGGGAGCCTTTCCTGCTTCGATTCAGTGCTCTGTTTGCAGAACTCGCCGACCAGATTGTGCCCGTGACGATGAACTGCAAAATTCAGATGTTCCATGGGACCTCGGCTCGCGGGTGGAAGGGCCTGGACCCGTTCTTCTTCTTCATGAACCCCAAGCCCAGCTACGAGGTGACCTTCCTCCCGCAGCTGCCCATCGAGCTTACATGTACAGGAGGCAAATCGAGCCACGATGTGGCGAATTACATTCAAAGGTTGCTGGCCAACTCATTGGGATTTCAATGTACAAATTTCACTCGCAAGGACAAGTACAGAGTGCTGGCGGGCAATGATGGGATCGTTCCGGACAAGAGCACGAAGCAGGCGAAGATCATCACCACCTGAGTGGCGACCCTTGTTCTGTGTGCAGTTCTTTCAAATACGAGGCGGGAGTTTGTTCTATAAGAGAGTGTTGCTGCCGGAGTGTTGGGGGTGCTCGTCGAGAATTTTTATTTCACAGATTTCTCACTTCCGAAAGGGTTTCATTCATGGAAAGGCCCACGAAGTGAATAAGTGCTCTTTTGACTAATTGGTTTACAAATAAATATAGGGAACACCACATGCCCAGTGCTCCACCCGAGAGCGCACTAAAGATTGTCCTTTGGTACGAAGTTTCTGGTACAGCAAGTAAGGCCATTTAAAGCTTAGTGTATTATTTCCCATCTTATGTGGTTAGCATGCACAGTTCCTCGAAACGACTGCCAGAACTCTTTCAATGACAGACATTAGAAGAGCCAGAAAACATGTGCTCATATATTTCGTCATCGTTCGTGTAGGAGCCCATTCCAAGCAGATAGACCCACAAAGAGTTCAGGATGTGTTTGCTTGGCTGGTGGCCCCTTTAGGGATTCCTTTCTGGCACCGAAATTTGGATTGCCTTGTAAGATAATTTAAGAAATCTGTTCCAAGCGAGATTCAAAATCCTTGATAATTTTTGAGTTTGTCTCTTCCAATGAGTCTGTCCGATGTCTGTCTGTCTGTCTACCCAACATGGTCGCCAGAGTAGGTACTGCAGCCGCTGCTGTCGATGATAATTACTGCCATGTCGTCTGAATGGACATGATCCACTGTTGCGCTAAGGCCGTCGCCACTATAATGGCACATAGTTCTCCATGTGGTGTCGTTCTGACGTGAGTCGGGCCCAAACTTATTGCGACCGTCTGGCCTCCAAAGAGGAGGCGGGGGTTCCGCCCTTCTGTCGAGCTCTAACTCTGTTCCCCGGAGAAAGTGCAATCAGTCTCGAGGAACTATTGCGAGAATCACTTTCCACGCCCCTGGATAGATAGCGATTCAATGCCGTGCTAGATCAACGGAGGGATCTATGGAGAAGAGAAGCTTCGTCTTTTGTACCTCGAGTCCTCCTTTTGAGTGTGTACTGTTGCATGTCCACTTCCGGTTGCCCGCATCAGATTCGACTTGCGAGCAAAACCTGCTTTGTTGTTGTAACGGTCAGCACGCACCTCTCATGTGATCGGCTACAGACTCTCACTCACTGAGCTCCCCTTCTGCGCATGAGGCGATGAGTCGGTGTGAGAGACCGAGACCATGCAGGATCAATCTGGGAGACCGCAGGCGGCATAACTTCCCGAATGCGGGACCCGAAATCTAGGCCGGCATAGAGTGCCGCCGGATACAGTGGACGGATGATGGAATGGATGGCGAAATCATATTATGATTAGAGCATGCTCCTTTCATCATGGACGGATAATGGGCGACTGTTTCGTCCCGGCTCTGAGATTTGCTCTCGGGTCAGATGTGGCTCTGCCTCTCGGAGCCTCGAGACGGTAGTGTGCACACCGGTGCAGAAGAGAACGAGGCAAAAGTAGTAGGGTCGAGATTTCAATGCTTTGTTTTCGGTGGTTTGGCTCGTAAAGGGGCGTCAGACCTTTCTCGTGGGAAAAGCAAGATGGCACAGCACAGCGTGAAGAATGTTTCGAGTGCACACTACGAGTCTACTAGCGCAGCAGCGCTTTGACAGAGGAGATGATGATCGTAGATTTTGAGGCGAACGAACGTAGGCTCTTCTGAAAACGCTATGCACGGGATGATTCGTACGCCCCATTTTTCTTCGTGTCTCCTGCGTCTTTCCAGAAGAAGTAAACCTCTCCACAAGAGCCGTCGTCAGTGCGTGACGCCCCGACGCCAATTTGGTTTCTGAGCTACTGTCTGACTTTTGAGTCTTGTACGCATGGTCAGTCGATACGGGGGTCCGCGACGTCGAGCGCTGCATGCAACCTGTTCGTGGGAATATGAAAACTGGCAGGCATCGCACAGTCACCGCTCGGCGTCGTCGTCCCAATCGGCGGCCGCGTTCCTGTGCAGGCGATGAGCTCATCGATTTCCGCATGCGCATGCGAATGTGATCATGCCCTCTTTTGCTGCACCACACGCGGGGCGCTAAGGTGAGGTAAGGAAAGGAGGAGCCTACCCGAGAGCGATCGTGCTGCGGCTACGGAATGTCCGTTTCTTTGCAGTGGCTTTGTAACCCAGAAGCGAAACATTCGATCATTCTCGCCAAATGGAAACGACGGAATCTGCAATCAAAATCCAAAAGCAGAATCACTCAAGCACTGCGACGACGAAAGGAGAGTAGTAGGGCACGCCTCGGAGATTTTTGTGGGGCAAAAGCAGTGCTCCCGGGGCAGGCGACGAAATTTTACACCTGGAAAGCGGCTCCTCGACACTGGCCTAGATCCTGCCTCACCAGCGTAGGAATTCGATATACAGTAGCCGTGAGGTCTAACTCCACGACAACTCCACGACGGTCATGAGGAGATGATTCGTGCCTTTGCTTTCTCAAAAGCATCCAACCCGCCCCGCCCCGTGCCTAACCCCATATCGGAGTCAACAATCGCCCAAACAAGAGTCCTCGTATTTATTGGCTGCTCGCACAGACTTTACGCCAATCTTTGATTTGCTTTCGTATCATAAACCGGTCAATAGTCGACTGTCCACCTTGTCTCCTCTCCCACATCTATCTATCTGCACGCCAAGCTGCCAACAACGAAAGGTGTGCAAAAGACAACTCGGTACGGTCCGTAATCATCGTTGTCCTTTTCTCGCCTTTTACCTCTCCCATACGAGATTTGCTTTCACGCCCGGTAATTCATCCGCTCGCAAACATATATTCGCTCTTTGTACATATACTGTACGCAAGGTTGTATAATCGTGGATCTTGATTCGACATCTCATAATGATTTCCCCCTCACAGCATGAAGTAAATTCCGTAATGCGAGAGATATTTCCGTTTATTTCGTTGGATCCATGTCTCGTATCTTTCCGATTGGCAGTATCTATACTCTTCGAAAGTTTCAGTTCTTTCATGCGGATGTATAATGATTTCACAATAAACCCCAAATGTGTTAAGAAGACTAAATAAGTCTCGTTGTCTATTTAGTTCATATAGATAATTATCCATGAGGGTATTATGGATTTATATTTTTTCATGATATTGGAATATGTACATTGCGCTTGGAGTGACCGGTGATATGTTTTGCAATCATTAGGATTATTCTACATGAAGGGAGAGTTGATGTTTCTTGCAGTTTCAAGGAGTTATGACAAACTTATAATTGGTTCGAGATAATTAGGTTATTGTGTTGAACACGGTATGATTCCAGTTCCTAACGGTGACATCGTTAAGAGCGGATGATAATCCATACTCCTGGAGCAGATGGATGACCGTAGAGGCAACAGCCACAGTATTCAAATGTATGATATGCACAGATTCCAACTCTTTATCAACTAAGCTTTGTGGTTTTAGGTACTTAGTAACATCATCTTCAAAATGTCGAGCTATCGATGTCATGATTATATCATATATTTTTTATCACTCAATAAAGAGCACTTCTTTGGAAAATCATAATAAAGCAATCACGTCGGATAGTATACTCCCATAATATATAGCGTAGCACAAGAGTTTAGTATCATGATATAGGACTTTGATAATAAGGTCTTCCCATCCCTTCTGTTATTCGACTCTCTTTTCTGGCTCCAAAACTAGCATCTCCTTCGTTTGGAAAACCGGTGACTGTGTGTGCACCTCAAGGTACAGTCACGTGAAGTGCAGAGGACTGTCTTCGGCTTCGATCCCCCAGAACTTGATTTCAGTCTTTAATTATGAAAGCTTTGAGTGAAGACACAGACTCCGGATCTACGTTTAGCGCTGGAACCCCAAAGGACAACGGTGACGTGTCGTGACATGTGTACGCAATCGGCTCTCTCGGCTTCGCTGCGAGGAGTGAGGTGCCGTTACATACCCGTCGATCTCCGTCTCTCTGTCTCCTCCCTCCCTCCCTCTTTCCTGCCGTTTGGCAATTACTTTCACTTTCCACGGGGGCAAGAATTCCAGATGCCGTAGACAGCATTCGACCTGCACGTCGAGATGCTCATCTCGGTCTCTCTCGATCACAGTTCCAAACTCCGCGGTTTATCCAAATTCATCATCTCAGCGGCAAATCAGCTGATCTCCTAGAGACCTCCCCTTCTCAAACTCGAAATGTGCAATTCCTTAACGAAGATTCAGATGGGAAATAGAAATTTCAGAATTTACTTCAGAGACAGAAGCAGAAACGAGTATAGCAAGACCCCGGAAAGTAGTACAGAGATGAGATGAAACGAGATTAAATTGTCTTCGACTGGAAAGAGCAGATGATGGTTTTGAGATCGGAATCACTACAGTTCTTGACAGACATTATTGCAGGTAGGGTCCGGTTTGTCTGGCTATCGATCCTCGTCTTAACTGCCCCTCGAGCTCTCCCTGGGCTCTCTCTGAACCTTTCGCTCTCTCTCTCGATCTCTCTCTCTTGTCGATCGGAGGATACACAAGAGGCAGTCCCTGTCGACATGAAAGCTGGAAGCTTTCATGAAGCTGGAAGCTCGAGAGCGATCGTTCTGGCATCCAACTGCGACCGATCGCAACAGCTCAGCTGACCCGACCCGACCGGACCGGAACTGACCGGCAGCGGACGACGGGGCGACCGTGAACAGCAGACGGACGGATGTCGACCGAGAGAGAGCGCCATGGCTCGATCAGGTGCTTCCGCAGCTCCCTCCACGTGTCGCTCTCTCCGCTCCGGAGCCCCGGTCCCTCCGCACCACAAAAAGACAACGCTCTCGAAACACGAGTTCCGAGCGCGACGACTTCCCGACCATTTACCGAGTTCCGCCGCATCGCCGTACATCTGGCGATCTCTCATTCCCTTTCGCCTCGTGGGCCGTACCTCGGCCGTCCGATGCCTCCCGGTTCATGCGAGATGCCGTAGGCCGCACTGTATTACACCTAAAGCTCGGCAAAGCACATCTCATCGCCGGTCACCGTCCTGTCCTCCGAATCAATGCCCTTCCCGTCGGCCTCGCCGTCCAGATACGGTGGTCGATATAGGCTGGTCCGGATTCCTCCTACCCCTATTGCGGGTAGCCCAACATTAGGGAGGCCTCAAGCATGCAGTAGAGTCGGATGATCCCTTCCCTTTCTATTTACGTTTTGATATTGCAAAGATGCTAAGTTATAAAGTATTTATAGGCTTCTGATCATCTCATTCTTCGTATTATTCTTCACGTCAAGCTAACAAGCGTAGCGTATCACGTGTTTTGTTATCAAAATACGAATGAATCACGTGATGAAAGAGAAAGGTGACGATTTTCTTCGCGTATGATACTTTGCATGTGACAGCTTTGCACAAACCCCTTGAAGCTACGATCGTCGTGTCCAGCTTAAAGTGCAGTTGTGGTAAGAAAGACCTTAAATCAGCAAGGGATACCGGCTGCAGCAATTTTGACGCCTAGCATTACCGGTGCCGTTCTGTGTAGGTAGAGTTGGGGTATAAAATGGGGTACAGTGAAGGAATTTTTTTTACGACACCATATACCGTAACGTTCTCGTGTACATAGTATGGACTGTTGGACAAGAGCAAAAAGGCGATCGG